CCCCCACCCCTGCCACTCTTTTTTGAGATGGGGATCAATGTAGTCCAAGGATGGACTCTCACACTTGATTGTCCAGCCTCTGCCTCCCAATCGCTTGGATTACACTTCCTGCGATCATGCCCGGCTCAAGATGCTGTCTACTGACAGAGTATGAACGGCAGAGTCCCCAGAATCTTGCCTTTCTCTTTTCACTTGGCCTGAGGGTATTGATAACTGGCTTGGCAAGGTTGTTCTTGGTAAGGCCTGCTCTTAACGCTCCACACCACCACACTCCTCCCACAGGTGGGAAATGTGCCTGGTCCTGTGCTCCTGCTGTGGTCTCTAAGTCACCAGGTAGGTAGCTGGTCATGGTATAGGGCTCATTCTAAATGCTTAAATCGCCAGCCTATGCATTTTCTTTCCTGGTCACACTAACTTACAACAGTTAAAATAGATCAGTCACCTGCCAAATATTTCCCGATTCTGATATGCTGCTATCAAAGACCTATAGTCACAGAAGCATTAAAACATGAACCAAGAGGGAAACTTGTGGGGCAACTCGCCAGATCTCATAGCCTGTCATCCACTTCCTGTTGGCCACGTAGGGCTTGATCATCCTGTGTCTGCCAATGCCCGGGGCACAGCAGAACCACCCAAATCCACAGTAGATGACTACTGTGCCATGGAGAAGGGAGAGTTGCTTTTCTCTGCCTCTGGACCTCAAATTTAGGTCCATTGTTTGCCTTTCTTGTCCCCAGAAGGAAAGTCAATTGGCCTGGAAATGCACATGGAAACTCATCATCAATTAAGATTTATCTATTTCATGTGTGCATTTTTGCCTATGTGTATTTGTGTGTACCAAGTATGTGCCTGGTCAGGTCATAAGAGGGCCATCAGATCCCCTGGAACTGGAGGTACAGTCACTTGTGAGCCATCGTGTGGGTGGTGGGAACCAAACCCAGGTCCTCTGCAAGTGTGGCCAGTGTTCTTAACCACAAAGTCAACTCTCTGGCCCAAAGAGGAGTCTCTTAGTACTACAAAGTACAGTGAAAGAACCGCCATTGCAGAGAATTGCAGAGAACTCTGGGGACTGCATGAACCTCATGGAAAGCCCAAAGGGGTCACTTTGGGGGGCCACTCTGGGGACAGCAGTAGCCATAGTTGGATTATTACCTGAAGTTGGGGTTCTAGATGGGAAAACAGTTTTGAGAAATCTTGAAGCAATCAAGAAAGAAAGCATAGGTGTCCAATGAGTGGGGTTCAAGGTGTGGAGAGAGACATAACCTCTCAGGGCCAATTCAAAGGGGAGCAGCTACCCCAAAGCCCAGTGGTGGGTGAGTGGAGGAAGAGCCAACCTGTGCCCTGAGCAAACCCTTCAATTCCTCAACAGAGGCACAGCGGCCATCCTAGGAACAGGCTCTCTGCGTCCGCCTAAGACTGTTGGGTCTTGCAGGAATAGCAAGGGTATGGAGAGCCCTGGTGAGGTGACTTCCTGAGCAGAAGGCAGAGTGCTGCAGACCCTCGGCTATGTGACCCTCTCTGGATCCCATGGCCACTTGCTTCCAGACTCTCCACTCCTAACAGCTGAAAATAATTAACTAAGGACACAATGGGGTAGAGGTCATGATATTTATACTCTCCGTGCCTGCCTCCAGCCTTTCTAAAAAGCACCTTCAACAGCTCTCCCTAGCAATGAGAAATTGTGAATGGCCATTTCTTTCTAGAAATAAATGTAATTTCAGAAGGAGTGAGCCCAGGAAAGCTTTTTTCCTAGGCTCCCTGCCTTCTCTAGAAGGACCTTCAATGTACCTCATAGGAATAGCCATTGAGGATTGTTGACGATGTTAACACTCTTTATGAAAAGGGACCTGGGGTTGCATTGTACAAAGGTCTGAATGACTCACTATTCTCCCCATGAGAATGAGATTTCTCGTTGCCATGGTTACAGTTAACAGTAATTCAATTCAACATGACATATATACATACATCAATGACGCCATCAGACTTGACCCCATTGTGTCTGAAAAGAAGCTCTGATGCTTGCCTTTGGAGGTCCTGTTCGGGTCCTGTGAAGCCCTGGGCAGCCTTGGGTTTCTGTACATCCATTCCATTCAGATTCCATTCCTGGATCTCCCACGTGGCAGGCACTACACTGGTCTTAGAGATACCGCGGTAAATAACTAAGCTCTGCCTGTAAAGAGTTTAGACTCCTAAAAGGAAAACAAGACCAATTAGCTTATCACAGAGTGTAGTGACCCAGGGAAGAGGAAGGCTCTATACACCGACTCTAACAGCAAATTAGCAGGCCAGGCTGTTTGAGTGACAGGAAACGAAGTGTGCTGTGTTTCCGTTTCCTGTTGATGTGATACACTACTACACTAGTAACTTAATACAGCAAAATCATAGCTTAGCGGCTGACAATGGTCTCTGTGGGTTAAAATCCAGGACAAGTCTGTTCCTTTTTGGAAAATCAGAGAAACTTCTACCCACTTCCTTGGTCGTCACAGCTTCTCAAGGCCGCCCATGTGCTCCGGCTCACGGCCGCTCCCTCCATCTTCGTAGCCAGCCATGTTGTGTGTGTGTCTCTCTGTGTAGAACAGTCTGGCCTTGAACTCATAGAGATCCACCTGCCTTTGCCTCCCAAGTGCCGA